CACCACCAGACGAGGTGATAAGACACCTACAGGTGAGGCAAAATTCCTGAAATGTCCGAACAAAAAATTAAAAGTTCTCGAATTTAATCCATACTTTTCTAAAATGTTGTTATTGTTGGTGAAAGTCTAAAAATCAATTATTATTGAATTTAATAAAATAGTTTTTAAATTACAACGTTTTTAATTTTTGACTTTTGAAAAAAAAAATTTTTTTCAATGTACAATATTTATAAGTAGAATGCATAAAAGTTAACATATATATAATGATTTTTAAAGCTTTTTTGACGAGCTACACGCTGTTAATAAAATTTTTTTTTTTAAATAACATTTGACCTTGAAATTCAAGGTCAAAATGTTAATTTACATTTATCTCAAAATCGGATTTTTTAAAATTATTTTTAACTATCTCAATGGAAAGCTTGACTAATTTCCTACAAAACATGTAATTTTCAGAGTGGGATCTTTTAAAGTTTTTGAGATATTAATTAATTAATTAATTAATGTTCATAACAAATGAAATATTTTACAAACGAATAAAGTTACCGTAATTCTGAAGTTAGTAATTGAAAGTTAACGTAATTCCGCATCCAACGAGCCCTATATGAAGTATTTTGGATAAGTAGATTGTTAATAAACAATTAGTTAACATTGCAATTGTTTATTAACAATCTACTTATCCAAAATACTTCATATAGGGCTCGTTGGATGCGGAATTAGCTTAACTTTCAACTGGTAAGTTTAGATTTACGATAACTTTATTTGTTTGTAAGATATTTCATTTTTTATTGTTATTTAACTAAAATTGAACAAAAATACTTCATATAGGGCTTTTGGATGCTTCTTGTTAGTAAAAAATAAAATATTTTACAAACAAATAAAGTTATGGTAATTCTGAACTTACCAATTGAAAGTTAAGCTAATTCCGCATCCAACGAGCCCTATATGAAGTATTTTGGATAAGTAGATTGTTAATAAACAATTGCAATGTTAACTAATTGTTTATTAACAATCTACTTATCCAAAATACTTCATATAGGGCTCGTTGGATGCGGAATTACGTTAACTTTCAATTACTAACTTCAGAATTACGGTAACTTTATTCGTTTGTAAAATATTTCATTTGTTATAAACATTAATTAATTAATTAATTAATATCTCAAAAACTTTAAAAGATCCCACTCTGAAAATTACATGTTTTGTAGGAAATTAGTCAAGCTTTCCATTGAGATAGTTAAAAATAATTTTAAAAAATCCGATTTTGAGATAAATGTAAATTAACATTTTGACCTTGAATTTCAAGGTCAAATGTTATTTAAAAAAAAATTTTTATTAACAGCGTGTAGCTCGTCAAAAAAGCTTTAAAAATCATTATATATATGTTAACTTTTATGCATTCTACTTATAAATATTGTACATTGAAAAAATTTTTTTTTTTCAAAAGTCAAAAATTAAAAACGTTGTAATTTAAAAACTATTTTATTAAATTCAATAATAATTGATTTTTAGACTTTTACCAACAATAACAACATTTTAGAAAAGTATGGATTAAATTCGAGAACTTTTAATTTTTTGTTCGGACATTTCAGGAATTTTGCCTCAGGTGTACTGTTATCAGGAGGGACTTTTTCTCATTCTGGGTTGTGATGCCAATGCACACCATGTTACTTGGGGTAGTACAGACATCAATGATAGAGGTGTGAAACTTCTGGATTTTCTAGTTGATACAGACCTAGATTTCCTTAATCAAGGAAACGAGACTATCTTTGTTACTAAAAACAGGAGGAAGGAAGGAAGTGCAGGATTGGTGAGTGTCGGATGAAGACTCACTTTCAGACCACAGACTTATAACGTTCAGAATAGAGTCAGCTGCTCGTGAATATAAGAGTGGTCGTAATCCTAGAAGTACCAATTGGGCTTCATATTGTGAAGACCTTAGTGACTCCATAAAATGCTTTCCTACTAGTTATGGTACAGAAGAGGAGTTGGAACTTTCAACAAATTTTCTGCAGGATTCAATTATTTCCGCTTTTGAGAGAAACTGTAACCCAAAAAGACTTGAAACTAGCAGGAAAACTACTTGGTGGAATGCTGAGTTGGAAAGTCTTAAGGGTAAGGTGAGAAAGTTGCTTCATAAAGCAAAGAAAAATAGGAATCAACAGGCATGGGCATTGTACCATAACGCTCATAATTCCTATAAAAAGAGATAGACAAGGCTCGAGCATCCGGCTGGAGGAGTTTTTGCGAAGGTATTGAGAAGATACCAGAAGCATCTAGACTTCATAAAATTTTTGCCAGAGATGCTACAGCTAAGCTGTCTTCAATAAAGCTGCCTAAGGGACGTTTTGCCCGTGACAGAGCTGAGTGCCTGAGGCATCTTATGGGAATTAATTTCGCAGACTTTAGAGAATCAGAGCAGAGCAGTGGGGATTGGAATTCACGTAAATGTCGTCCTGGACGAGAACACTGAAAACTTGCATCCGACATTGTGACTCTGGAAAAGATTGATTGGGCTTTAGGCCTGTTTAAGTCATTTAAGGCACCAGGGAGAGATGGCATATAACCGGTTTTCTTACAAAAAGGACTACGGTATGTTCGTTTACCCTTGGTTAGAATCATGAGAGCAAGTATAGGTCTAGCCTACACTCCTGAGGTATGGAAATGATTAGGGTAGTGTTTATTCTGTAGAAACAGCCCTTCATTCAGCGACTAGCAGTATAGAGGAAGAGTTAGACTCAGGGGGTTATGCAGTAGACAATTTTCTAGATATAGAGGGTGCTTTCCCTAACAGCAGTAGTTAAGCAATATGCAATGCGGCTAAAAGATGTGGCATACCAGATCCAATGATTAGGTAAATTAAAGGTATGGTCCATAATAGAGCCCTGGAAGCAGAGTATGGAGAGGCCACAATAAATGGCCTAGTTTCCTATGGTTGCCCTCAAAGCGGGGTTTTATTTCCTCTATTGTGGAGCTTAGTTGCCGATGAGTTATTAGTAGAACTCAACGGCCAGGTATTTTATACGCAAAGCTATGCGGACGACTTCTTGATTATTGTAAGAGGTCTCTCGTTAGATACACTCTTAGAATTGACAGAGAGGGCATTAGGCATCGTCAAGAGATGGTGTGAATGAACTGGCCTCTCTGTTAATCCTGACAAGACGGATATAGTTATTTTTACTAGGAAATACAAGATTCCCACTGTGAGAAAACCTGTATTTTATGAGAAGGAAGTGCCTTTTTCCGATTCGGTTAAATATCTAGGAGTGATTCTGAAATAGAAGCTGATTTGAAGAAAGCACTTAGAGTATGAATGTAGTAGGTTTTGCACTACTTTTTGAGTTTGCAGAAGGGCAATTGGATCATCTTAGGGTCAAAAACTGGATATGGTTCAATAGCTCTATCGTATGGTCCTGTTGCCAAGGTTTCTGCATGCATCTATTAAATTTTTTTTAAAGTCATGTACAATTTTTAATTTTTACTTTCTATAGAAATCTTTTAACTCATATAGAAGATAATAATGTACGATCGAAGAAAAAATTTTGTTTTTTTGTTTTTGATAAGAATTGTGGACTCTAGATTGGACGCAATAAGAAAATTTCAGCAGCGAGGCGTTATATATATGACATTTATTTTATTATTAAATTTAATTTTTTTAATGAAAAAATTATATTTCAAAGGCAATTATATATATATATATAAGAAAATATCCACAAAATCTCGCATTAATTTATTTCAATGTGTTTGAGAAAAAAAATTTCTGAAATTTACTCATTTTTTGACCTTCTAAAGTAGGCGCACCCCTTAAAATAAGACCTCTTTTGGGCCTTAAAATAATAGTTTCTTTTACAGTGTGATTATTATTTTCATTGAAACGTCCACTACACTTAAAGTTAATTGAACTACTTATTTTAATACAAAATCTTCAATAGGTTAAACATAGGTATCCAGGTGCCTCAACTGCCCATAGGAGGTGTTTTTTCAGTCCCGTAAAGGTTAATACGTAGCTGACATTGCCTCACATACGTGTTTATTCTTCTTGGTTATGTTAACCACAAGCGGTTTCTGTTGGAATTGAATTTGAATTCATTTAAATTTAAAAATTAACTCCTGTGTATTGATAACTTTCTCGTTTTCTTTTATGTATATTGTTTTAGGTAAAATTTCTTTTACCTACATACTGAATTAAAAAACAACTTTATAGTATAATCCCAATGCTAGTAGATCCGGTATAAATAGAGATTTTAGTATTTGTGTTAAAAATTTGACATTTTAGATGGGGGTTCTTTTGGATAAAAAATCAGCTAAATGGTTGATATCTAACATGTGGGTTGTTATCTAGTGGTAGCTTTGGATTATATCTATTTGAAGAAATATAAATTACATCTGGAACAATGCTACATTTTAAACAAGACTTAAAAGAAATCTTGATATTATGTAGGTTAGTATTAGATCCAAAGAGTTGATATCTACAATACAGGGTGATATATAGGTGGCTTTGTACCAAAAATTTTTTTTTATTTTTATTTTATCAAGAAATAAGTCTTTTACGTAAATTACAGATAATTTGTTTAAATGCCTGAAAATTGTTATTATAAAAATTTAATCGTGATAGAGAAAAAAAAGCAACGGATTCAGATTCAGCGACCAAAAATGCTTTAGGAATGCATAATCAGGTTCACTGACAATGAGTCAAAAAAAAAATGTTGTGGTCCTTTGTAAATAGGGCTTGACCAATCTCTTCAAACTTGAAAAACTTATAATAAAATTTCGTTCTGTAACCATATTATAAAATTTCAAATTAATTTGTTTTACAAAATGTATATTAAACGAAGTTTAGGGACTGCTGGTGATTGTTACAATGTGGATCTTTTGGATATTAACAACCCGTCGTTATTCGGTCAAATAGTAAATAGAGATTAAATGCTGGTTCACTGGAAAATAATACATAATTTAATAAAGTAACCTGATTCAGAAATATTAAAAATGTAATATAGTGCACTTACGTTTGGAGGGATTTCATTCAAAGATGCTGTATAACAAGACATTGCATCTTCATTTCTTTGTCTTACTGACTCCTGCAAAAAATAAATCTTGTCTTTACACGAAAAACACAATTTTCTATCTTTTCAATCTTTGTATTTTAAAAATATTTTCTTTAATATCTGCACGGGAAATGCGATTTCGAGGGCCTTGTAGAATACGCCCGAAATAGACTTTTTTATGTTATGTCACATGATCGTGAGAGAAATGCTCATTACCCTAATATATTCCCTCATATTATTGTTTAAAGGTTATAACTCTTCAAAAATGCACAGTTCACATTTTTCAAAAAATTTCAATCCCTTCCCTCTCCTACAGTTTTTGATAAAACCAAACAATATTTAGTGGTTAAAGTACTCACCCATAGGGCTAAACTACCCAAGTAGCACGTAATATTACAGTAATATTACTGTAATGTTACTGTAATATTACCATGAGGCGGCACGGTGTGCCTTAACCAGATTCAACCCAAAAGTTTTTGCTCAGGAAAAATATTTTTTTTCCAGTGAAACTATATGAAAAATACAAACTTTTCTCACAAAAATCAAAATAATCTGTGGAGCCGTTTTTAAGAACGGTCTCATAGAATATTTTTGCCATTAAAAGTACATTTTTTAAAATGAAAATTGCGAAAAGAAGTTTATTATTGTATTACAGTTTCTGTCACAAAACCAGGGGGCACATTTACAAGCCCCCCCCCCAAGAAACATAGTGGGGTTTTGGGATATAATAATGTATGATATTCTAATATTTTATTTGTAATGTGAAAACTAGTGTTTGACTAGTCGAACAGTTTGTTCGGTCCAATATGGGTTAAGTAAAGTGATACATTATAAGTGGGTAATAATCGCTCCCTATTTCAAACAGTTAAAATTCTTTACTACTTTATACAGTGCATGCGTAAACGTATGATCTTTGGACATTTTTAATATTTTCTTAATTCACACACGCATACAATATGAACCCAAGGAGGGTTTTCATGCCGGATCAGTATCGGACCGATGTCGAATTTCGACATACCAATGTCATATCGATACTGATATTCGGTACTGTTTCGGTATCGAAAGGATGTTGGAATGTAAGATCGGACCGATACTGTTTTCCTACACCGTATCGGGTAGTATCGGGCCAATGTCGGATTCCAATATTGTAAATATTGGAATCCGACATTGGCCCGATACTGAAATTTAACCTCGATCTAATATTGGATTCCAACATTAAATTTAAAAAAATAGTAAAAAAAAATTTATTGAATTTATTAAGTTTAACTTAGTGTTATTTTTTATTTTCTGTAGATTCCACATACATGATTTTTTTTCCCTATCTTAAACGCAATTGAACGCACAACTCGAACATTTTGAAAAATCCTAACCGACGCCGAGATTCGAAAACCCTAACCTAACTCTAAATGCATAATACGAACCTAACGCTCTAACCGCAGAGCCATTGAGGCCTTGATGGTTATTATTGTAACTATCAATTATATTATAATTGATAATTATTATAAGTTCATTTGCTTTTTGCAGGGGCGTAGGCAAAAAAGAAGTTTTAGGAAAGATTTTATGATTTTAACCCCAAAACTACCCACTATGTTTCTTGAGGAGCATGTATATGTGCCCCCTGGATCCACGTCTGATACTGTAATACAATAATAAACTTTTTTTCGCTATTTTCATTCAAAGAAATATATTTTTAATAGTGAATATATTCAATGGGACCGTTCTCAAAAACAGCTTCATAGATTATTTTGATTTTTTTGAGAAAAGTTTCTATTTTCCATATACTTTCACGAGAAAAAAGAATTTTTACTGAGCAAAAACTTTTGGGTTGAGTCTGGTTATAGCGCATCGAGACGGACATTATAAACTTACTGTAATATTACGTGCTACTTGGGTATGTGCAAGTTACAGCTTGATCTGAACAACATTTTTCACTTAGTACGCTACCCAGGTGAAACGATTCTACGGAAATCACTCCACGGAAATTCTATACGGAATTCCGCAAAATTTTGAAAGTATTCCTTTCGTAATTTTGCGAATTTTGTTGGAAGAATTCCATACAGAATTGCACAAATTTTTCAATAAAATTCCACAACATTATTTTTTGCTAATTTTTTTGTGATTTTAAAATAACTGCTGCTACTATAACGAAAACTAGTCGACAATGATGTTCCTGGTGGATATAATATAGAATTTATGATAGATTAATTAATATCTAGTCGAACTTATTTGAGAGGTCAATAAAACGTTTTCCAAAAGAAATTTACTATTTTTCAGTCAACTAACTAACGGTAGTTGAATTTCTCGACTAATTTTTTTCAATGTATCCACCAGCAGTTATTTTAAAATTACAAAAAAATCAGTAAAAAATACACTCAATAAAAAAACTAGTAGATTTGACTACTTTTTAACTACCCTGCATAGTTCAATAGGTCCTTAACTGAATTTAAAAAGTTGTATAAACTATTAAAAAGTAGTTAAAAGAACTAAGAATTTAGTTGGGTCAAGGAGATTTTGTAATTGTTCTAATTTTTGAAGTTGATTTAACTACTTTTGTTAAGTACAATTAACTACTAATTCTTAACTCCATAAAAAATAGTTAAATTGACTACACGCACATAGTTAAAATAACCAAAAAAGTAGTTACTTTTACTACTTTCAACTCAGTTAACTAAAGGTAGTTGAGGATTTCGGCTAAATTTTTTTCAGTGTACAGTTGTGAAATTCTAACAAAAATTTTTTGCAATTCTGTATAGAGATTATGTGTGTAATTCTTATAAAAAATTCGCAAAATTACAAAAGAACTTCTTTCAAAAATTTTTCGGAAATTTTTGCGGAATTCCGTATAAAATTTTTACGGAATTTCCGTGGAGTAGTTTCCGTAGAATCGTTTCACATACACGAAGTTTAACCTGTAAGATCGGTCTTTTATTTATTTATTTTTTTTGAAAGTTAAAAATGTGTACTTTCACCACAAAAAATATTGAAATATCCCTTCTTGTTATTATTTTCGGGACATTAATTAATTAATTAGTGATCGTAAAAAATGATATATTTTGCAAACAAAAAAAGTTATTGCAATTCTGAAGATACCAATTGAAAACTGACGTAATTCCCCATCCAACAAGCTCTATATAAACTATTTTGGATTGGAGGATTTTTTATAAACAATTGCCATGTTAGCCAAAGTACTTCATATAGGGCTCGTTGGATGCCGAATTATGTCTACTTTCATTAAGTAACGTCAGAATTACGATAACTTTATTTGTTTATAAAATATATCATTTTTATTAACCTTAATAATTAGTTTGTTAAGGGGACTTTCTGATTTAGAATTGACAAAAAAGGAAGGTTTTAAAACTTTTATTGTAAGAACAGTATTAAAGAAATTGTAAAAACTATTTTTGGACATTGTAGCACATTGCGTAGAGAAAATTTAAAAAATATGTTTGAGTGTATTTAGTTCAATTTCATAGCTGTAGGTGGCGTCTTCCAAAAGATACCTTTTTTTGGTACGTTAGTTTCCGGGCAACCTGTAATACATAAATTCAAGTTCCAAACGGGAATCTCTTCATAAGGATTTATTCTGGGGCCTAAACCTCAAAAACGATTTTTTTTAAAGGTTTTTTTATTTTTTATGTACATTTTTCTCAAAAACTCGCAAAAACGCCGTGTTTTTGGGTCAATTTACCTCCATATAAAAACACAGGGGGTAGAAATATGAGTTTTTAGAGGTTTAGGCCCCAGTTTTTTAAATAAAGAATCGAAAAATTTTTGGGATTTCAAAATCGGTTCGGTAGATTTCGAGAAAAGCTCTGTACCAGTTTGAAAAATGAGTTTTCGAGAAAAACGCGTTCAAAGTTTTCATAACATAGTTCATTGAGTCATGAATATCAAACAACTTTTTATTACAACAGAACTTCGTATCCCGCTGTTTTTAGGGTCACTGATTGCGAATTTGATGTCCGTTTTGAAAAATTCAAAATGGCGGATCCAATATGGCGGACGAAAAAATAAAAATTCAACCGGATTTGCTTAAAACTTGCTACTCGGGGGTTTTTGGGGTCGCTGATTACGAATTTGATGTCCGTTTTTGAAAATTCAAAATGGCGGATCCAATATGGCGGACGAAAAAAATAAAAAATCAACCGAATTTGCTTAAAACTTGTTACTCGGGGGTTTTTGGGGTCGCTGATTACGAATTTGATGTCAGTTTTTGAAAATACAAAATGGCGGATCTAATATGGCGGACAAAAAAAATAAAAATTGAACCGAATTTGCTTAAAACTTATTACTCGGGGGTTTTTGGGGTCGCTGATTATGAATTTGATGTCAGTTTTTGAAAATTCAAAATGGCGGATCCAATATGGCGGACTACAAAATAAAAAATTAACTTTTTTAATTAATTAAAACGTTTCTAGAACGTTAATGTTTTGTGCCTATATTCATAACTAGCAATCTTAAAAGGCCACAAGTAACCATTTTCAACTAAATTTAATTAATTTCTTAATCTTTGTCCGCCATATTAGATCCGCCATTTTGTATTTTCAAAAACTGACATCAAATTCGTAATCAGCTACCCCAAAAACCCCCGAGTAACAAGTTTTAAGCAAATCCGCTTGAATTTTTATTTTTTCGTCCGCCATATTGGATCCGCCATTTTGTATTTTCAAAAACTGACATCAAATTCGTAATCAGCGACCCCAAAAACCCCCGAGTAACAAGTTTTAAGCAAATCCGGTTGAATTTTTATTTTTTCGTCCGCCATATTGGATCCGCCATTTTGTATTTTCAAAAACTGACATCAAATTCGTAATCAGCGACCCCAAAAACCCTCGAGTAACATGTTTCAAGCTAATATCAATAAAAGAGGAACACCAAATATGTAAATAAGATAACTGTAGATTGTTGTTGAAATACATACCGTCATAAATATTGTTATAACTTTTGTTTTTGTACATAATTTTTAAAAAACGTTTTGGGACAGTAATTCTATGATACTATGGAACATTTTTAAGCAAAAAAAAATCGATTTT